TACTATCTTCCTCAGATCACATTTTTGGAGGTAATGGCTGAGCAGTCAGAATGAAATCATCAAACACCAAGATGAGCCAAAGCAAAAGCAATAGATACTGGTGGGTGGTTTTGACCAACTGGCTAATAAAAGACACGTCAAGTTTATACTGCAAGTTTATTACAGTAATACAATCAGATTAAATGATTTTCACAGCTAATATACCTAATAATATCAGGGTGTGTACATATATTTTATTCCCAACACATTACAATCTTTTTATCTTTAATCATGCAGCGAGTAATGTACAAACACAATTATATGGAAGATTTTTCCCCCTAAAAAAGAGAAACCAAAATTACAAAAGTATGGCTTTATAAGAAAGTTGTATCATACAATGAACATTCATTTGTACTTGGGCATGGCAACATTCGGTCTTAATCAGTGAACAAGAGCCTCTGTCACTGTCACGCTGATCCCAAAAAAGCTGAGGGAACTGGGAACAGGAAAATGCCCATCGGTGTTAGAGAGATGGAAAATATATATATACACACATTCAAAGTACGAAAAATGTAAAAAATGTTTTCAGGGATTAAGCATCACATTTATTTATATGCTGAAGTCAGAGTTATGGAGCCTTGAAGAATATAAGTGCACAAACAGTTTCTGTTTTCCTTTAGACCAACAAACATCGAGAGTGATGCAATTGACTTAAAAAGCGTTACTTCAGGTGTAAAGAGGTGTAACTGAGGTCAGAATCTGGCCTGTCCTTCCTGCTAATGGTGCTGCAGAAATAGACAGAAGCAGAGGGTTAGGAAGTCATAGGTGGCTGAATTTTCCTGGCAGCCCAGAGAAAAGAAAGACAAAGGTGTATGTTTAATAGATTTTATTTTAAAAACAATGGATTCAAGAATAAAATGCGACCACTTTCACAAACCCTTTGATGGATGATCGTGGTTGTTGACAAGCAGAAGCCCTTGTGCTCGGTGTTCCAGGGTAAAACACCCATTTCAAGAGCAAAGCTGCTGCCTCTGTACAAGAGAAGAAGACGTCCTTACCTGTTAGCGGCACAGAGCTTGGGACACACGTTTATCTCATGAAAAGGCCGTTTTCTTAAGGCATTGGTCACTGATGTGTACAAATACTGAAGTGGGTAAGTATTGTCAGTCAGTTATGAGTTTCACCAGGAGAGGGCAGACAGAGACACAGACAGACATGCATGTGTACGCGTGCACCCACACGTTTACACACACAGACACACACACACGCTAAGTCACTCGCCGTGATCACTGAAATGATCCTCATTGAAACTGGTCACATACCCCCCTCAGATCCTTACAATGCTACTCCTCAAAATTGAAATTAAAAAGATGTAACCTTCAGAGCCAACCTGTAATCCAAAAATTACCAAAGACTTTACCCTCTCCTCTTTCTCTCTTGCTTTTATTCTTTTTCCCAAGTTCAGGAACACAGATCTCAGCTACACTTACTCAGTATGTATATATACAAAATGTAAACACCACTACACAGCACCTAGCACCCTTTTTGATTAACAAAGTCACTAACGTATTTGTCATGCAAGCATAGGGATTTTTCCAGACTACACGCTGTCAGGTTGCAGGAAGTGTGGAAAATATTTTGAGTTTACTTTTGCTAATGACCTGGGTTGGAAAGAATGGAGGGAAAAAATCAACACAGACAGGGCTGAGGTAGATTTGGCCATATCTGATGTAACGTCACTGTACTGAGCAGGAAGACAAATGGGATCTCAAACTAACAGGCAGGTCACTACAAGATAAGCAAACCAGGTTTAGGGAGAAGATTCTTCCACCCCAGCAGAAGGGTGCCCGTCCTGCCCTCATATTGCTACAGGCGATGGAAAGGGTTGTCACCACAATGCTAATGGCCCTAAACTCTGGCTCAGTGGGACTGCACATGGAGATCTGATGGTAGCTCAGCAGCTGAGGAGCAGCTGGTGCTTGGTTTCTTGTTAAAATGGTCAGGAAAAGGAGGAAGGAGAGTGATGGAGAGGAGGAAAGAGAGTGTGGACTGATCTTTCCAGTGTGGGTAGCTGCCTGTTGCACACTGGGCTGAGCACACCAGGGTTTTTGCATGTTGGCCAACAACGGGCCAGCAGCTCTCCGGGCTGTGGTACCAGACCCAGATGTGCCCCCGAATTTGAGTTTCTTGAGCAGAATCCATCTCTTATCCTCTGTCTGAGCTGATGGATAAGGGTTAGCCTCCCACACAGACAAATGCACGCACACGAGCATCCTGCTGCCTGCTACAAATCCATCCATAAAGCCTGAAGTGCCTGAGCCCTGACCTTTGCAAGGATCCACAACTGTTACAGTCAACAAGAGATCCCTGCACCGTTTTAGACCCGCTTGCTCCCAGTGGGTTGCTCTGGCTCTCTGGGTACAGCCCCCTGCCTTATTAGAAAGCACTACCTTGTTAATGCCAAGAATGCCTACCTGCCTCCTTTGATTTGTAAGTTGAAGAGCTTTCCCCTCCCTCCTGTCTTTTCTGAAACTCTTTATGCCACCGAAACTCTCATGGCTTCAAGCCACTGCAAGAACAGTTGATGATTTCCCTTCCCTCCTTCCCTGGGATCTCTGCTCCCAGGGCCTAATTGCTATTCTAATAATATCCATCACCAGCCTCCTCCGCCTCTCGCCCACCGACATCCGGAGGAGATACCGCATTGCTGCTGGGGACAAACCCAATCCTGCTCCTCCGGACTCCAGGGGTGCCACAGGGGCCACGCTCTTCGGTCTTCGCTCTTCGTGGTGGTGGTCGATGTCATCAGCCTCAGGCAACGAGCATTGCCTGCTTTGTCCTCTGCCTCCAGCTCCGGGTTTCTGGGGGCTGCCGGGGCTGGGGACCCCGAAGGGCTTGGCAGAAGCAGCTCAGCCACCGCTTATAATGCAAATCTGCCTTGGGCTCTGCTTTGCTTCCCAAGCTGTGACAGCCTCCGCCAGCCGCAGAGGCTGCCGAGCAAGCGAGTGAGCAAGCAAGCAAGCGAGCAGCCTCTCCGCAAAACCCTCGCCCAAGACTGACCCTGAATTTCTCCGCCACTGTTCACACCCTCCCCCATCGCACAAGGAGGAATAGACACAGATGGGGAGAGACATTGGAGTCCCCAGGGGCAGGGGTGGAAGGACACTGCAGCACCAGGGATGTGGGATTTCAGGAGAAGGGTTAACCCCTTCGTGGCCTGCTTGCCAGTTTTAGGGCTGGGCTGACATTTTCTCCATCTCACAAACAAGCCTGCATCTTCACCTAGCACAGTGCGGGCAGCACCGAGGTGCTTCCACAGCACATGGGAAGAGATGTCTGGCAGGAGGATCCTGGTGTCTCCGAAAGGATGTTCCAGCTGGCTGTGCCCGACACATTTTGCAGCCCTGCAGGAAATCTCCACGTGTGCATGGGCGGCATTGCCAGCATCCTGGCATACAGGAGGTACCTAGCGCACAGGGAAGCGCTCCCTGTCCTGATGGAAAGAAGGGTGCAGCTCCAGCACAGCCGCCTTGGCACAGGCAGGGAATTAACCAGATGAGACAACAGCCATTTTTGCGGGGAGCAACTGAGATGTGAATGCACATCCTTTCCTAGCCAGAGCCTTGCTAAAAGGGGTTTGTGCCCCACAGCCTTTGGCCCCAAATTTCTTTAAAGAGATGAGTGACTTCTTCACTGCTGTTCAGTAGGGATCTGGGGAAATGGGTTACGCTACATCAGCAGAGCAGAGGGTTGTGCTAACAAAGAGAGGAAAACATTGGGGTCCAAAAATAAGGGATGTGCCCCAAAGGGAACTGGGATCCTGCCACTGCTCCATTGGCACTGAGCACAGCTGGAAGAGCAGGACCAGTGCCTTGAACAGCCAGGGCTCTGCCAGGGCAGCGAGGCACAGAGCTCCCCAGGAGGCAGGGCAGCCCCAGCCCTGCTTTCTTGCAAACACACCCTGCCTGCAGTGCCCAGGGCAGTCAACGGGAACTTTTGGTATTTTCCAGGATCAGGCCTTCTGTCTGGACCCAGACATGGCAAAAATACTCTAATTGACAGCAAGTGACAACTTTTAACAGCAGAGCATCATACCCCAGCTTAGGATAACTAGCAAGTGCTGGTAGCTCTGAGACCCAGTGGGAAATCAAGTTAGTGAGCTCGAGTCTCTTGTGGAGATACATTCAGCCCTAAAACACAAGTCAAGGAGAAATAATGTCAATTATAAAGGACAGGGCTTCCACTGGCCCTGCTCTGACTTTCATTTTTTTACTGGACAGCAGGGAAAATGGTTCCTTCCCCATTGCAGAAGTCTGTAGAGGCATCAGGGCTGGGATTGCCTTTAACCCCCTCACTCCCAGGTGAGACAGGATGCTTTCTGTTGGCAATTCTCTCCCGCCCACCCCCCAGGAATACACACTCACTGCCCCTCTCTGAACTCATGCCCTCCACGCTATGACCTGCTGTAAAGTAACTCGGTAAAATCAGGTAACCTGCAAGACTGCCTCTACATCCCTGCAGCATCAGCCATGGACTTTTTTGTTATTACTAGATGATGCTGGATCATTGTTAGAAAGACAACCTGACGTTTCAACCCTGTTGGTACGGGATGGTATTTCTCCCAGCTCTAGCAGAACACAGTCCCATAGTTACACCATTTGAAAATCCCACTGGGCACGTAGTTCCTTTTTACCCAGGTACGTTACACGGGATATAGTTATCATATTGGAAATTCAGATACACTGATACCAGCTGACAGCTAAGAAACCAAACATAACACAGCCTCGACTACAGTTAACCCTTCACATGCACAACAAAACAGAAAACAAGGAAGGCTTTTGCCTTTAAAAGTGCCGTGCCTGCAATCAGTTAGAAAAGACATTTAAAATCTTGTCACAAAATATTGGATTTTCCAGCATAGCCTAATTGGTTAAGTACTAAAATCACACTAAAATGCAGGGGGTGGCGGATGACCAGCTCCCCTCAGTGGCCTTTGAAAATCCAAGACCCAGCGAATAAAGTCAAGGAAAAACATTTACCACATTTTTTGTCGGTAGCTTTTTGCCATAGGATGGTAAGGGCTTTAGTGCCTGAGGTATAGGTAGTTCCTGGATGCTTTTAGGGAAGTGGGAGGGGGGAAGAGTCTGGAGAATAGTTTGCATAGCTTGCAGATATAAAGAAGCAGGTGTGTTCCCCACCAGGCTGTTGAATTTGTCTTCCCCCAGCAAAGCTGTCCAGTGGTCCGGATGCTCCTGCAGAACTTTCCGCATCTTAAACTGTGGGTTGGGCATGAAGAGCAAGAGGTAGTCGAGGCAGAGCTTCTTTGATGCCACATTGACTTTGGAGTCCCACATCTGCTCCAGGATGACGTCCAGCGGGGTCAGCCCTTTACTGTCCTCTATCCTGGGAGAAGCTCCATTCCCGAGGAGGATGAGGACCGTCTCTGACCTCAGCAGTTCACAGGCAAGATGCAGGGGAGTCTTCCCATCTTCCAGATGAAAGCAGCCAGTCCTATTGATGTAGGAGTTCAAGCTGGGGAGCTTGTGCGCAATTTTGATGATCAGCCCCAAGATATCTCTCCTGTCATATGTGACCGCCATGGCCAAGTGAGGAGCAGAGGATGGGCAATAGCAGAAATGTTCCCCAGGTACCTTAAGAGCCTCCTCTGGAAAATGAGACAGCAGATACTGAGCGTAAGGCAGGTGGTTATGCACCACTGCATAGAGAAGGGCTTCTGAAGGTGAGTAGGTTCTTAGGCTGGCATTTTCCTCCCAGTAAAAATATTCCATAGTTCTCATGTCTTCCAGCATCCACACGGGCTTGTGATCTCTCACAGCCTGGTAGAACATGTAGGATAAGAACTTGCAGTGCCTGCTCTGATCATCCTGCAGGCTGGCCTGGTTACTGGCCATGGCTCAGCAAATAAAGAGCAGCTCCACGTAGAATCACTCCAGACTGTAAGATCTGTGCACTTGGAATGCAGATCCCGATGCTGCTGCAACCTTCAGGCTGTCATTGCTGCCTGGACTGCACTAGCTGGAATGCATGGGCTGATCATCTCCACCCATTCATTGTTTTTCCCCTCACTGCAGTGGTTTTGTTTAGGTAAGCACAATCCCACAGGCTCAGTTAACCCATGCCATGCAAGCAGATGGTTAGTAAGTACATCGCGCTCCGCGCGTGGCACAGGTTACTGGAACGCTGTCAGACTGCGAGTGATTTTATACACACACAGCTAGAGAGAAGAGAGGGAGAGACTAAAATTAGCTTGAGAGGTGAGGCGGATCTCTGTCTGCATTTCGTGTCTAACCAGATCAGCTCATGCACTGCAGTAAGTGCAATAGCGATATTCATCTATTTTTTGCATGTCACTCACACACACGCAGCTCATTATATAGTAAAAAATATGTAGCGGTGTAAAATGCTCCACAGCTGATAATACACGTGATTATATGCTCAGGAAATCAAGGGATTGGTAGCTGTAGCATTAGGAAGGGATCCCTATTTTATAAATAATGGTATGGATAGCCACTTAGGAGACACTGATGTTAATGGATTGTCTATCAGGCGTTAGTGATGTTTAAGATCCCAGCATTAATTTCTGCAGAGAAAAGAGTTGAACGGTATGTGGAGTAACTCTGCCCACAGTCATAAAGCATATTGCTCGATTTAAACGCCTGCCTTTGTTTAGGAAGGAAATATCTGAAGTGCGTCTCTATTGCACAGCAGGTTCATAAACAAAAGGTTAATGGCCAAACCCCGCTGGCGGATGGAGAGCTTTGTTCTAAATGTTCCTCAGATGTCATGCTCCCGGACTGGGGTCAGAGGGAGTTTTAATGGGGGGAAGTGGGTTCAAGCAATCAGACTTGTGCAACGCCCTGGTAAGACACAGAGGACTCAGGCCTACAGGTGTGAGGGGGCAGTGCCTGTTGGATGAGGCAGAAGGACCTGACCCCAGCACAGCAAGCTCACAGCAATCTTCTCTGATGTTAAATCCATCACCAATGGCAACCATCTCGACCAAAATGGTTCTGCCACTGCTACAGCAGGGTCATCGCTGAGCAGACCCGCTTTCGTAGCGCCTCCTGTCCCTCTGCTGTGGAGTCACTGCTGGGCAGTCATTTTGTGGTGAAATGCCAATGAATTTCTGCACTTTACCTGCTGTAGGTGGTGGCACACAGAAGACCTGGATCTTTTTCCTTCTCTTCCTTGGCCCAGGAGTGCCCTCCATCCAGTGCCCAGGAGATGCAGCCTGGGCTGCGTTGTCCCCCTTCCTTCTTTGCATCTGGCCTGGTGACTGCAAGCTCACAGGCTCACTTGGACCAGAAACTTGACTATGATTTTTTGGAGATGGAGAAGGGATAATTTGGCGCTGAGTCTGCTTGCTGACCCAGCTGACCCTGAGGCTGCCGGGCGGCTGGTCCTGCACAAGGGACAGTTGCAGGAGTCTTCAGCCAGGAGAGCAGAAATGAGGAAGCCAGACTCTTTCAGGGATAGCCCTCAGTCACAGAGGGGTGGCTGCAACGTCAAATCTAACGTGTGCAGAGACATATAAAAGTAAAGAGAAAAATATTCTGCAAGTATCTCCAAGGAAGAGGGAAGCCGAAATCCCCGAATCAGGAACGGCCACCAGGCTTATGGCAATCACCGCTACACCACAGGTCCAGGATGTCCAGGATGCGAAAACATCTGCAATTACAGGTTACCTTGTAATTACAGGTTACGCTGTAATTCTGCCCAGGAAGCCCAGGACAAAACTAGGGAGTCCTTCACATGGTTTGCTCACCTCTGCGTGGTGTCAAATGGCACAGGTTTCTGCTGTGCCAGAGTACCTACTGCCTGCCATGCTGGCTCCTGTCCTTGGCCTCTTCTGTTTTTTCTGGGAGTTTAGGAAAGCTGAAAGCACGTGTTTGATAACAGTGCATCTCTTCTGAATTTTATTACAAATATAATGCCTCTGTAAAACATTATAGATCCATCAGAAATGGAAGACATTAACATGGAAAGCTTTATTGCGGAACTGGAAGAAGATTAGGAGTTTAGGAGTTTCTGTTTAGTTCTTTGAATTCTGATCTGTGACTAAAAATAATGTATCCTAACTCCTAAGGTTTTTGTTGTGGTTTCTCTCTTGGCCAAAGTGCAGTCTAGAAGGTGAGCAGGATCAGTTTTGAGGGACCGTCCAAGGGAACGGGAACAGTTTTGAAGGATGAACCTGAAAAAAAAGTTAATTTTACCCCAACCACCATTTACCATTTCAGCTGAGACCAAGAGGCTCTTTAGACCTCTCCCAGGCAGATGGATTTTTCGCATTTTGACGGTGATTTCAGCTCATAAAGTGATTTGGTTATTGTGAGCCTGTGAGAAATACAGTATGTTTCTGAGTGGTTCTGAGTTCTTTGGGAATCTTCTTAGTGTTATGCTCAAAAGATTGTTTCTGGGCAAAAGGAAAACCCACCTTATATATAAAGATAAGAATTTATTGTTATTATAACTGAAATCTTAGCACTCTAATAAAAAAATCATTATTAGTCCTGGTCTAGTTATTACAGAAAAATATGTAATACTCTGATGCAGAAAAAGTTGCAATAATAATAACAACAACAACAATTATAATATTGTTATGCACACACTTCTGAACTTCTACCCCTATTCCTGGTGTTATGCCATTGCTCATCTGGGTCCTAAGATTTGGTGGTTTCATTCTGGTGGTGGTGGTGGTGTTACAGGGACTGGTCAGCATCTGGAGTCCTTCAGTGGGAGGAATGTGAGGTTGATGCTGATGGTTTCGTCTTCCTCACTCTACAATCTTCTGGGGGTCATTTTCATGATTGTTAACATGCTTTTACACCTTTTTTTTTTGTTCATTGGACTGAAACCTCACTTTACATCCAGATTTACTACATAAGGTGACTATATGCATGTAATACACTATTTCTTTGCCCTTTTTGCTACCCGTAAAACCACTCTTGTCCTGCTCCTTATCTGCATTTCTTTAACTGACCATAGGTGAGTTGTTTGTTGCTGTGAGGTCTCTAGAGTCAAGCCTGTGCCCCATCTCTCACCATCCCATGCCTTTACTCCTCTGCACCACACCCTGTGCCCCCACTTCTCAAGTCTTCTGCTGCCGTACCAGGCCTATGGTTTAACTCTAGCATGGTAAGTTGGAGTCATGAGCATCTCATGGTGCACAGAATAGCTACTTGTTACTGCTACATGTATAAAACTAAGGTTGTACCATACAGGGCTAACCAAAGTAAAACAAATCCACCGTAGCCACCCAAATTACAATAAAGTTGCAGGCAGGTGAATAAAAGCCCAGGCAAAGCAAGCCTGACAAGCGTCAGTCCTGAGCCTTTGCTAACTCAGTACAAAACCCGCGGGCTGTTACTAGCAATGGCCATAGTGTGCTGCTGGGATAGAGGGGTTCAATAGATCCTGTTTCTGGAATAAAGCAAAGCAGAAAGGCTTTGCGTACTGCATACTACTGAGAACGTGGCTTAGGCTTATCACCTTTTCTGTGTCATTTCTTCCTCCTGCCACTCTGTATAAAGGCACAAGGAGCAATGAGGAGCACTGTGGGGTCACGGGTGGTTGCAGATACCTTCTGGAAACAAACAAAAGTAAACAGCAGCTTTTGGTTGCTGGGACTGAGGATAAATCGCTTATTTGGCTGGGAGTGGGGCTTGTCGTTTCACTGACTGATGGGAATGACACATTTCCTTTAAGGGAGGAGCAGGCATGCCACAGGCCACAGCGGTCTAGTGGCTAATTTGAGCTGAGCTCAGCTCCTTCCTGCTGCATTTTTGCCTGGGCACACACCTGAAAAACTTCAAGGAAGAAGCTGCTTGGGAAACAGAAGAACAAGAGGCTTTGTGGAAGATTGGGACCATCTCCAGCATCCTACATCTGTCAAAAACTTCAGTGAGATGTTTCTTGCTCCCCTTCTGCCTTTCTTCAGTGATCTTTATTGGCATCTGTTTGCAGGGCACAACTGATGCCAGTTCCTCTAGGCAATTTGCACAGGAGGGGCACAGGATGGTCTAGACAGGACGTACAAAGAAGTAAAGCCATTGCTGGGTATCAGATGCACGAGCACAACACAAAAGAGTTACAGAAACATCATCTCTTGATTCAGAGGCACGCTGGTTTTCAGTATCTACTGGCCTTCTTCCTTTCCTTGGGAAAAAACCCCAACCCTCTGATCTGAAGGCAATGGATGACACCTCTTCAGCCACAGAGAGCCTCCAGCCATGCTCGCTGTGTCCTGCTTTCCACGTTCAGCCTAGGCTGAGTGGTGCAGCTTGTGGGCATGCTGTGTGATGAGTTAGCACCCTTCTGCAGTCCCCTACTGCTCATACTCTTAATGCTGTGGTTGTGAAAAGAGTGATCAACTCAGCTGGTGGCCAGGGTGGATCCCGACTCAGGGATGCAGTGAAAAAGAGCGTGACTGAAAAGGCCTGCTAAAACCAAGGTCAAAGACTGCAGGTTTTGGATAGAAAAGAAACTGCCCAATTATAAGAAAACAGCGGACAGCTTACCTATGCCAAGGAAATGGAACAGTATAGCTAATACACGAGGCTGGTTTTACAGAGCACGACAGGTTTCCTTTATACACTGCTACACGCTTACCAGGTCTAATTCATCCAGCTGACTAAACAAGGCTTTGAGATGGTGGAAAAATCTACGGACTGACCTGTCCTGAATTGCAGAATATTTCACTTCTGCTTGCAGAATTCAAACAGTGAGTGCACCAGTCTCTGACTATATGGCTAGGAGCTGGAAATGAAAATAAGCAGAACTTTACCAGTTTTGAAAGCATTTGAATTACTTGTAATGGGACCACCTGATGTGCTGTACACAGAACAAATCAATCCCCAGATGGTTATTGACCTGCAGAAGTTGGGAAATGAAA